GCTTGAGTCCTATTGGAATGTCCAAGATCTGCGGCCAAAATGTTTGCGTGCTTAAGGCTTTAATAAACCCTCCAAAATATTTTCGCGATAATATTCGGCATTTATTCTGACGTCACGGTCGATTAATACGAGCAGAGAGCGACCATCATCTGTTATGGCAACCCACACTATCACCATGGCCGGTGCTTGAGTTCTGGTGGCCAACTGAAGGTACACATTTTCAGCGGAACTCTTCGGCAAGTAAGCTCAATCATTTTGTTCGTTTACAAACTGCTGGACTGCGAATGTTTTCTCATCGGAGAAAACTAACACTCATCGGCAGTTCAACATTTTCGGCCAAGCGAAGCAACTCTTAGTTCTCTTGAGTCAATTTTCTTTCTCTTGCGGTGTAAGTTCTTGCACTTTTATTTAGCCATGTCCGTCTCTCTGTCTGTCTATCCGTCTCTTTGACTGTCTGTCTCTCCGTTGTAATCACGCTATCTTTCGAACGAATTGAGATACAAGGCTACAATTTTGCACACATGTTTATTTTGCAAGTAGGCAGGTTAAGTTCGTAAATGGGCCATGTAAGTCCACGTTTTTATATAGCCCCCATATAACGGTACCTCCCTATATTCGGTATTTTGATGATTTTAGCGACAATATAATTTTTTAATTTTTTGAAAATTTGCCAAATTTGAAGCAAATGGTGGAGGGTATTTAAAGTTCGGCCCGGCCGAACTTACAGCTTTTTTTTACTTGTTTGGAATTTCAATGGCTTTACCACGAACTCATTTTTCAATATTTGCCGAATGGAATATTGCGATATGTTCAGCTCACGAGCCATTTTTCAGCCACTGCGACGCGGGTTTCGATCAAGTCGCTCCTTTACTTTTCGAACCATTTCTGCTAATGTTGCTGTTTTCTTCCGTCCACTTCCTTGACGTCGGGTTATGCTACCAGTATCACGGTAACGATCGATAACGAGACACAAAAGATTTATTCACATTGAAATGCTGGAGTGCTCTAACGATAGCCACTTGTGATTTTCCAGCCAAATATAAACACTATCAGCTTGAAATCCATCGCGAATAAGTTTTTTTCTGGAAAGTTCTCACCAAAATGCCTTTGTAAGCTTGTAAAAAATATAATGAGCTCTCACTGGAATAATTTCAACAGCTGTCGGACACGTGGCTTTGAAATGGCAGCAGTCTGAAGTTGGTTGCAGTTTTTTCATCTCATCCTGTATTTTGGGACTTTTGGCTTGTTTTCTCTTAACTATCCCCTTAATTTGCAAACCAATTATTATTATTTGCAATATTGCCCAAGACACTACAACGGATTCCAAGGAATTTTAATCCGATAATTCCAAAATATATAAAAAATGTGGTACCTTACCTCCTCTAATTAGGCTACTTTGCGATATAAACTTTCAAAACACAAATATACGTGTCTTCTATTTTTAGCTCTACCTTCATAATCTACTGGATTATAAATGTAATTATTGAAAAAAAACTGGAGTTTTGACCCACAGTGTCTTTTTGTAAATAAAGATATTACTAATATTTAATGTTTTACCCAGGGACTTTACACTCGTTGGATATTTCGAAGTACCTCCGTCATGCATTCATTTATTTTCAAGACTGATTCATTATTTCAATAAACACCACAAGCGTTTTGAAAAATCACCATAAAATATTTTACCATCTTCAAAAGACAACTAAAGGTTTCTCAGTTGGTTACGAGAGTCTGAGAGAATCTCTAGACGAAGATTCTCATTATAGCTTATCAACATCGAACGTGCTGCATCTGTCCAAAGTGGAAGACAAGTTTTGAGTGACTTTTGCAAAACCTATTCAGTTATCGATTAGCAAGCTGCCAGCATGGTTGGAAGACAGATTTTGTGTTTATTTCTCATTGCTGCTCTCTGCCTCTCCCTACGCTCTGTGGCTGGTCAAGACACCGTGACTTCAACTTGCACAAATCAAACCGTCCGTCAATTTTGGCATGAGTCAAGTGATCCAACATGCGGTGTGGATGTTCGCAGCGCTTTTCAAGTCTATGGCAAAATTTCGGGGAGCAAAACGAATATTGATCAGTTCGATGCGTTAATTAAAGATGAGATTGCGAAGAGCTTAAATGAGATACTGGTGTCAGAGATTGTGGTAGCAATACAGAGGGGCCTCCTAACAAAGGCTAAACATTTGTCAATTTTTGATTCCGAATTGTATAAAATCGATTACAATTTAATTCAGATGATATGGAAAAATGTCTTGGAAAAATTGCACGATCACCAAACACAGCCCGCCTTAATTGTGGAACAAGTAATGATGGCTCTAACCAATGCCAAACTGAAATTTGACATAATTCAATATTTTTGGTCTCATTACGATTTGAAGTATAGGCATTATGGTAACTTCCTACCCAGTTTTACCTATGCCCTAACCACATTACTCAACAATGATTTGGGACAGCTAGACACCCACCAAGCCATAGCTGCCGAACAAATACTCAACGAGTTGCCGCAACAATTGTTGGACATATATCAAAGTCAAAAGGTCAATGTAACGATACTCAATCGTGGTCTCCAGGAATATATGTTGGCCGATCAGGACAGAGGCCCCACAGCAGAGAAACGCCTCGTCTTCACTTATATACGAGCTGCTAACTCACCAAAAATAAAAGGGAAATTTAAGTTGCAATTCAATGCCAGAGGTATGGTGTCCATAGCAGTACATTTCCTAGGTGCACCGAGATGCTTAAAAGCCGATGAAGATAATGTTTCATTTTGCCCCAATTGCATGGATTCGTGTTCAACAGCCCAGTGGTGGAATGTAGTTTGGCCATTTGGAAGGCGATCGAGAGGTGAAGATGTTGATGATCCCTATGTTTATCTGCAACATTCGGCGAATGGTAATCTATTGTGTGCCACAAGACCATATGATGCCAATCGTCGTTGGCTGCAAGTAATGGCTGTACGAGACCGCATGTCCATGGAATCATGTCAATGGAAAATTTCACAAAGGCGTAGATAGATACAGGAGATCTTAGGGGCAAAATTGATATTGTAATTATATTTTTTTGAAAAGGAAATAAATAAAATGTATTAATTTTTAAGATTAAAAATAAAAGCTCACATTTTTTTCCTTGGAAAAATATTTAAAAATCAGTAAGGAAAGCTCAAAAGACGGGCGGGGCAGATTATATGATACCCCGCCCATATTTAGTAGAGCTTTCGTAAAATAAAGGTTTATATTGCAATTTCTGTGCCCTATGAGATATCTGGTACAAAATATCATTATGGTAGAGTGCATATTCCGAAAGTTGGAAGATTTAAACACCAAATCGGATGAAATATATGTATGGGAGCTATAGCTATTATCTGAACCGATTCTCGTCAAATTTAAAGTATTTATTTCTATACTCGGTCGGAAGTCCCAAAACTCACACAATTTGGACTGATATTTGCTATGAAACAAGAAACCTGAAATCGGATGAAACATATATATATAGGAGCTACAGCTGAACGGAATTTCACAAAATTTTAAGTTCATGCTTGTAGGCTGAATTCGGTAGGAAATACCAAAATTCACTCTATTTGGACTGATATTAGCCATTTGGTACACAATAAACCTGCAATCGGTCGTAGATATAAATGGGAGCTATATCTAAATTTGAACCGATTTTCACCAATTTCAAAAGGGTTCGTCCTTGAGCCATTAAAAAAAAATTCTGTACAGAAAAACAATCCTCAGGGACCTGAGGAGTTTTTTCTATACGAAAAAAATCCTCAGGGACGTGAGGATTTTTTTTTTTCTGTACGAAAAACACTCCTCAGGGACCTGAGGATTTTTTTCTATACGAAAAATAATCCTCAGGAACCTTAGGTTTTTTTCTATACAAGAACAATCCTCAGGGACCTGAGGAATTTTTTCGATACGAAAAACAATCCTCAGGGACCTGTGGAATTTTTTTCGATACGAAAAACAATCCTCAGGAACCCGAGGAATTTTTTTCTATACGAAAAACAATCCTCAGGGACGTGAGGAATTTTTTTCTATACGAAAAACAATCCTCAGGGACGTGAGGAATTTTTTTCTATACGATCTAACAATAACAATCCTCAGGGACCTGAGGAATTTTTTTCTATATGAAAAACAATCCTCAGGGACCTGAGGATTTTTTTTTTTTTCTATACGATCTAACAGTAACAATCCTCAGGGACGTGAGGAGTTTTTTTTTTTATACGAAAAACAATCCTCAGGGACCTGAGGAATTTTTTTCAGGTACCTGAGGAATTTTTTTCTATTCGAGAAAAATGTAGCACTATTTGAACTTCAAAATATACTGTATAAGTCTTCGTTACGTTAAAGACTTCCTGCTCACAATCTAAATCATGTTTGACAACTTAAACCCCATCCGTTCAACTCTCACTTTCTTTTAACATTAAAATCTAACACAAGAAATCTACTTTTAAAATTATTTCCGGCGCCAAGATTTCTGCCACACGACAATTTCAATTTATCTGGCGCCCAATAAATCGCTCGTTGTCTTTCTCATAAGCAGCATCGTTCAAGTTTGTGGAACAGGGTGTTTTGGTTGTCATTTATACACACACATCTATACAGTATCTATTTCTATTGAATATTATTATTACCCGAGCAAAAGTTTTATCAAAATTAACGTTAACTCACTTTTGTAAGAAATTAAAAAAAAAAAAATGAAAATGCCAAAGTTTTCATTTTCATGGTAGCAATTTAGCGCACAAATTTTCTTAAAACTTTTATGACAGGAAGAAGAAACCAAAATGAAGAAAAAAAAAATACAACAACAACACCACACACTAACCAAACACTACTTAGGTGAGGAGATACCAAATATTAAAAAGTTATTATTTCCTTAAGAATTCTGTTGTTTTTTTTTTTTTTTTGTGGTTCTGCTGTTTTTTCCTTGCCGGATGATGTTATCCAAGAAAATGAGGGCAACTAACAGAAAAACTATTTGGAATTTTAAGTACTTACCTTTCCTTCGTTGGCATCGCTGGCATGATAGCGCACTTCCAGTGACCCACCCAAGACAGCGTACCAGAAACGACCTTGTTCGCCGGCACGAAAAACTAGAAATAGAAAAAATTTTATATAATGAAAAAGGAAAATAAAAACAAAAACAAAGCCGAATAATTCAATAAAAAACAAGTAAAAAAGCTGCAAGTTTGGCCGGGCCGAACTTTAAATACCCTCCATCATTTGGAACGAATTTGCCAATTTTTAAAAAAAATAAAACCCGTAAAAATTCTTTGAAAATCTTAAACATACCGAATGTAGCCAAATTAGGGTCTAAACGACGACGTGGACCTGCATAGGCAACTTTTGTCATAAGCCATTACAATATTCAAATGCGAAATTTGAAAAAAATGGTGAATAATGTAGCTAAAATCATCAATATAAGGAAGTACTATTATATGGGGGCTATACCAAAATATGGACCTGGACAGACAATTTTCTGCCTTAGGCTGAAGTATTCCTTACGAACTTTACAAACTATGTCGCTAAAATCATCGAAATACCGAATATAGGGAGGTACCGTTATATGGGGGCTATACGAAGACGTGAATATGCACAGATAATCTCATGTAATATTCTGTAGTATCCATTACGAACTTCGAATACCAAATTTGAAATAAGTACGGTTAATAGTATCGCTAAAATCATTAAAATAACGAATATCGGGAGGTACTGTTATATGGGGGTTATACGAAGACGTGGACCTGCACAGACAATTTTCTGTGTTAGGCTGTAGCATCCATTACGAACTTCAAAGACCAAATTTGAAACAATTCCGGATCAAGAAAATATATACTTTGTGGGGTCTAAAATGTATATTTCGAGATGTTACAAACGGAATGACAAACTTAATATACCCTCCATACTATGGTGGGGGGTATATAAATAGATATTTGAAATAAGAAGTTATTATCTAAACCAGATCATAATTAGCAATTTTATCTAGGCAATAATACATACACAAAATGTGAAGCATATTTTTAGGCTGAAAATGATATTTTCATTTTTCAAGAGAAAAACAATTTAAATTACATCTTGAAATGATTACAGGAGCTAACCTTTTAGATATAATATTTTTTATTAGGGGCCACCAGAGACGATATCGTAGAGAATATTTGCAACGACTGTAAGGGCTATCAGAAAAAATTATTAAGGTTTAAGGTTCATGGATTTTAAGGATATTTTCTAAGGACCAATTTCGTTTAAGAACATTTAGAGTCGATCTAGAGAAGTCCGTCCGTCCGTCCATCTGTCTGTCTGTCTGGCTGGTGAGCACGATAACCCTCGAAGGGAGTATCCGATTTGGTACATCGTAATAGATTTTGTCAAACTTAGATTGAGTTCGGTACCTCCTCCACAAAAGGTCGAAATTTTCAAAAAATATATTTTCTGCAAAGAATGAGGATGGATAATCCGATTTTGCTCCAACTTTACAAATCCTAAGATTTGCGTATGAGCCAGGTCAGGCGCGAAAATGGACAATATCTGTCCACTCCATCAAGTACCTCCCTTACAAAGGGTCAAAATATTGAATAATTATGACTCTTATAAAATGTGGTGTATCGGACCACTTTTTCTGGTACCTCCCCCACAAAAGGGTCAACATTTTCAATATCCATGAAGCCCATAAAACGCGAAATTAACATCCGATGTCATTCAAATTTGGTACATCTAAATATAAACAAATTCTGTTATAAAGATGGTGGAGATCGGACAATTTCTTCTCATAACTGCTTCACATGGGGTTCGAGTTTTTGAAAAACAAAACGCTCAAAGAAAGCGAAACAAGCATCTAACTCTCTTCAAATTTCACACATACAAAAATTTAGTTTAACAAAAGACCTATTGCGAACCCCTTCTGGAACCTCACCCTGAATAATCGTAACAAAAGTCATAATATATTTAAATAATCGAACATTGGCGGAGGGCAAAACCGACTGATGTTTTTGAACTTGTTTTTTTTTTTAACAATTAGAACAGGGAACGTGGTTTTTTCCAACAGAATTTTTTTATAGATTGGCGGAACAACCAACGTGAATTTTTTGAATGGATTTTTAGAGTTATAAACCTTCATTCTTTTCAGGGTCTTTCAGTTTAAACGTTGATTTTCCAGGACTTTTCAAAGACTTTGAATGTTATGATCTTCGAAGAATTTTTTAAGACTTTCTGAAGAAAGAACATGAATTTTGAAGGAAATTGTCAAGGACTTTCAAAACTATGAATTCATTTTTGGGATTTTTGAAATATTGCCCAAGAACTATGAACGTGAAGTTTTTAATTAAGGACTTTCAGATTTTTTCCCGCTATTTTTTCTATTTTCTTATTCTATCTATTTTCGTATTTATTTTATAATTTTTGGGAACTAACATTTTAGGGGTTTTTAAGAACAATTGAAATTAATATTGGGGGTTTTATAAATTTTTATTTATTATTTTTCAACCATATATCGCTCTAACAACGAAGATTCGTAGATATATCTTCTTCCTTTGATTTTTCAATTTTTTTTTTTTTTTTCAAAAACATCAATGAGATCAATGGCTGTGGGATTTGAACCGCGGACCTCGGTGTGCAGCCAACTAGAAGTTGCCGTCTCTACGTTCAGAGCCATTAACCCGTCTTCCTAAAGCAGCACTAAAACAAGTGTATGCATTGGAAGCAATGTAGTTGTTGTGGACAAAAAATCCATCACTACAAAAAACAAAAAACTTTGCTGTGAAAAAGATCTGCCAATAGAACTTGAGTCGAACCTGGAGAGTTTCTAGTGTATAATTCGCATATGCTAATTTGCAATAAGTTCGAAATATATACTACTTTCCAGAGAACGGCCCTTGTAAGCCATCATCCACACCAAATATACCTGATGAGCCGCTTAACCAACGGCGAAACGCGTCGCATAGTGGTGAGTGTGTGATAGTGTCTATCTGGCTTTCCTTTTCACTGCAAATTTCAGATCATTAAGCTCGTCTCGAAAGAGAAAACAAACACATAAATCAATGAGAACATTTTTCACGAATTCTTGAACAGTCCAACAAGGAATTTTTAAACATATTTTTCCAAAATCCATTATCGCCATCTACTTGGATTTTTAAAAGATATTTGTTTTTCTAATGGTTATTATAAGATATGTGTTAGAGGATTTTGAATGCATATGGTAAATTTGAATAATGAGGTACTATTAAATTTAACCATATTTATTAAGAATTATGGTGGATTTTTAACAATACTTTATTTAAGGACAGTCTTGTGTTAAAAGCTTTTTTTAAAGAATAACCGCGAATATTGGGCAGAACACAGGCTGAGATTAAAAAACTGCAACCAACTTCAGACTGCTGTCATTTCTAAGCCACTCGTCCGACAGATCTTAAAATTATTCCAGTGACAGCTCATTATATTGTTTACGAGCATACAAAAGCATTTTGGTAAGAATTTTAGAAAAAAAAAAAAAAAAAACAAAAAAATGTTATTCGTGATGGAATTCAAGCGTGATAGTGTGATTTCGTTATATTTGCCTCGAAAACCACAAGTGGCTATCGTTACAGCGCTCCGGCATTTAAATGTGAATAAACCTTTTGTGTTTGGTACCATCGCTCGTTACCGTGATACTGGTAGCGTAGCCCGACGTGAAGAAAGTGGACAGAATAAAGCAAAAGTGATTCGAAAAGTAAAGGAGCGACTTGATCAAAATCCACGTCGCAGTGACCGAAAATTAGCTCGTGAACTGAACATATCTCAATATTCCATTTGGCAAATATTAAAAAATGAGCTCGGGGTAAAGCCATTGAAATTCCAAAAAGTGCAAGAACATACACTACAACAGAAGGAAAATAGACTCAAAAGAGCTAAAGAGTTGCTTCGCTTGGCCGAAAGTGGTGAACTGCCGAATTTGGTTTTCTCCGATGAGAAAACATTCGTTGTCCAACAGTTTGTAAACAAACAAAATTATAGTGTTTACTTGCCAAAGAGGTCAGCTGAAAATGTGCAACTTACGTTGGTCACCAGAACTCAAGCGCCGGCCATGGTGATGGTGTGGGCCGCCATAACAGCCGATGGTCGCTCTCCGTTCGTATTAATCGACCGTGGCATCAGAATAAATGCCGAATATTATAGCGAAAATATTCTGGAGGGTGTATTAAAGCCCTGGGCACTCAAACATTTTGGCCGCAGACGTTGGAGAAGCTTTTCAGGACTCAGCGGCATCGCACTTAGCAATCGCCACCCAAGAATGGTTACAAAGTGAGGTTCCTTGCTTTATTTCCAGCGCACAATGGCCACCAAAATCTTCGGATACCAATCCGTTGGACTATTGTGTCTGGTGTGTTTTGGAAAGCAAGTTTGGCACTAAAAAATACCAAAGTGTCGATCACCTCGAGCAAACGTTTCACCGGGAATGGGGCAAAATACCGAAGACCAACATTCGGGCAGCGTGTGACGGTTTCATTGACCGTTTGATGGCCATAATTCGTGCCAAACATGTACAATTCGAACAAATCTAAACTTATTCTATTTCCGACATTTTCTGCTTTTATTCAAAAAAAAAAAAAAAAAAATAATAATAAATAATAAATAAAATAAAAAAATGTAAAAATTATGTTTGACTTTATTGCAGTTTTTTTATCTCAATTATCTGAGTTATTACAAACTTTAAAATGGCCACAACTCCCTAAATATTGACTCTTCGGCGTTTTTAGCTATTATTTTTTAGGGCTGAATTATTACAAACTTAAAAATGGCCATAACTTAAGAACTATTGTAGACCATTTGTTCCGTTATCTAAATGGACAATAGTTGAAAATTTGTTATCTACAATTTTTTTATTAGTAAAAATAACTAAAAACATTTTTTGAATATCGTCTATTTTGGTTTTTAAATGAGTTTTTTTATCTTTTTCTGAAAACGCAAACAAAAAATTGCAACATTAGCTCAATCATACTCAACCCCAATGTAATTGAAGTTTGACCTTATTCTGTCCTGGTAAATTTCTTGCTTAACTAGTAGATTAAGGAAAGGCAAGCGAAAGGAAAGTAGAAAAAAAAAACAAAAAATAAATAAAAAAATAAATTTCCATCCAATATGAAAAAGAAAAACAACAAGAAAAAAAAAAACACATTTATCATTACTACTTACGTGTTACTCCTTTCTCCAGATCTTCGTAGAAACCGCACATGGCCAATTGCTGCAATGCAGAGCCGGGAAGACGACACAATGGCTCCACACGCCGCAGACGACAGGATATCAATTCAACATCGCGCAGATTACGGTCACAAGGTCTGCAAGGAGAGTAAAGAAAGAGAACTAAGTGAACAAACCAGAATTGACATTATGACAATGACGATAATAAAACTAAAACGACAAACAAACGCTTACAACCGATGCTGGCAAATAATAATTTTCGTGTTAGTGTGCGGGGTGTGTAGGTGAACGCCAAACGAAGGACATATGAAATTTGAACAGACAACGAGTCGAAGTAAACTAGAATTAAAGTCGAACAATTACAAGGAGATTTGGTGGCCGCACGTATCGTACGACAATGGCGAGGATATAAGGTGGCGAGAAGAAAGGGCCAATTGAGATAACTTAGGTTAAGTTAGAAAGTAGTTAGAAAGTGAAAGGAAAATAGAGAAATAGAGTAATTTTTAAGTTGTATTGTTGGACAAGTCAATAAATAAGAAATAAAAAAACATTAAGTTCGGCCGGGCCAAACTTTTAATACCCTCCACCTTAGGTAAAGGAAACATTAGAGCTCATTATGACCCACATATACCAATTTTTAGACAAATTAATTGGAAAATGTGCCAAAACTCATCAAAATACCGAATACCGGGAAATACGGTTACATGGGGCTATACAAAAACGTGGACCTAAACATACAGTGTTTCGCCAAAAGAGCTAGAACTCATTAAGACCATCAAATACCAATTTTCAGACAAATCCGTGAAGAAATGTGGCAAAAACCATTAAAATGCCAAATATCGAAAGGTACCGTTATACCAAATCGTGGACCTATACATACGGTGACCATTAAACCCATAAAGAAATAGTGTACACATTTTCAAAAATTGTATTATTTTTTTAAAAAACATAACATAAAATTCATTACCATAAACATTTATTAAGAATGAATCTAAACTAAAACAAGTAAGCAAAGGCTACAGTCGAGCGGGGCCGACCGTTGAATACCCTACAACACTATAATAAACGATACAGTTTATATAGGCGAGATACTCGAAAGAATTCCACAAGATATTGTAACAAATAATAAAAGAAAACCATCTGGTTTCGTTCTCTAATTTTCGAACAATAGCAACTTTAACTAATTTGCTCATTTCCAATTTATTGGTAGATGTTGCACTTAAATGGTCTTCCTAGATCTGGAACCAATATTTCCCAAAGACCTATAATCTCTCAGAAGTGGCAAAAGATTAACATTTATTATTGGTTTTTGGCTGAAACGCATCTACATGAGATACAGACATTGGACTATATTCTTCAACGAAATCAGCGTTAACGAAATAGTCAGAAGTGCGTCTTTCCTGTATTTGTGAATTCTCCAAAAAGTCACTGAAATGGATATTTTCGTATTTTGTCTACAAAAGTTGGCAATCTCCTTCACACATTGAATATTTTTGGATGGCCATCCAAAACTGCTTGGCTTTTGTAATGTCCGGTAACCCCCATTCAAATGTGCGTGAAGATCGGGCAATAATTACGACCTGCTGACAATTTTGCAGTTTTTTTGGTCCATTTCAACCCCTAAATATATAGCGATCATCTCCAAAAAGAGTAGGCTTCTATTCTGACCCTCATCTTATCCCCATGCAAAATTTCGTAAGGATCGGGTCATAAATGCGACCTGTATATGATATCCTGATATCCTAACTACTTAGTTTTGTTAGCTGTAGAAATATTACCAAATGTTTAATTCAAAATGAAAATATGCCAAAAATATGACAAAATTGAAAAAATATGAGAAAATTTTACAAAATCAATATTTTCATCTTTAGAGAGATGTTTTTATGCAATTTTTAGACGTTGTTTCTTTCCTGCCAAGAGGCCATTTTGAATTAATGAGAACTGTCGAAATTAGTTCAGCCGTTCTCGACATATAAGAGATCTTTCAAGCATATCTTCTTTGATAGACATATATATCGCACATATTTTGCTATATATCCGATTTGTTGGATGTTAAAATCAATGCAAAGGTCAGAAGTAAACTTGTCGTGGCTTAGTGATTTCGCCGGGATTTAAAATATTCGCGGTTTAATGAAAAATTCAGAATTTTCAACACAAAAGATATGGTCTATTTTACCCGCTAAATATTATCCGATGACCACCCAAATTGGTAGGCTTCTTCCCCGCCCTAAACTCTAGAAGTTCCGCGTCGATTGGTCTATAATTGCGACCTGTAGGGCAACTGCAAAATCAAGAAATTTTTCAGTTTTTGGTCCATTTCGACCCCTAAATATTACGCGATCATCTCCAAAAGAAATAGGGTTCTATTCTGACCTTAACCCCACTTCCATTCTAAATTTCGTGAAGATCGGGCCATAATTGCGACCTGTAGAATGATTACAAATTAACATGGACAGACGGACAGATGGACGGACATACATAGCTAGATCGACTCAGCTCGGCGAGATAGGAAGATCCATATATACTTTCCTATGTGGGAAATCAATATTTCGAGGTGTTACATAATTTTTGGCCCAATCAAACTTATAATACCCCCAACACATAGTGTTGTAGGGTATAAATACATACATACATACAAACGAATGTAAAAATATACATACTTTACTTTTGATATTTCTCAACAGAGTGTATTTTTTTCAAAACATCAGCCCTATTCGTTAAGAATGATTTAATTCAGTGCAATCCATTTCAAAATTGTATTTTATAATTAAGAGAGATTCTAGTGTTTCCAATTTCATTTGAGTTTTCTCCGAAGTCCAAATATTATTAAATATAGAAAAAATCCTTTCTGTTGATGCATTTGATGCAGGCAAAAATAAAATGCAAAATCAACTAATTTTAAAATATTTTTATAAGAAATATTTTCGTTGTCGAAGAATTTAAAAACTTCAACCCACTTTTTATCAGGATTTATTTCGGATTTTTTCCAAATTTCTATTTTGTCCACGTTTGCATAACTTTTTACCGAAGTAAATTCATCAAAGACGTCGTCATTAGTTATATTTAAATCATTTCTAAATTATATTACTTTAGCCAACGATTTTTCTACTTGCTGCCAAGATGGAACTGTTTTAAAAGTACCCAAGAAAATCCCTCAACTTCTCTGAATGATTCATCCCGTTGGTGCAAATAATCAATACAAGTTCCGTAAACATGTTTTATTTTTTCTTACAAAATATTAACATCTAATGTTAAAAAATGTGTCATAAATCATCAAAATACCGAATATCGGGAGGTACCGTTAAAATGGGGACTATACCAGAACGTGGACCGATATATCTCATTTTCAATACCAACAATCCAAGACAAAATACAAATTGCTCTGCTAAATTTTGGCGCTCTACGTCAAATAATGTGGGCTGTGACGGACAGACAGACGGACATCGTTAAATCGACTTAGAATTTTATGCTGATTATGAATATATATACTTTATGGGGTCTACGACGAATATTTAAGGATGTTACAAACGGAATGACAAAGTTAACATACCCTCCTTTCCAAGGTGGAGGGTATAAAAATCTAAAAATATATTATATAGAAATAAAATCAGAGAAGTGTGTTTCCTGGAAAGCCACTACAAATAGGTAATATTCCAAGAATATTTTTGAAACATGAAACACCATTTGAGGCGAAAACAAGGTATTTGCTGAGAATATTTCTTTAAAGGGACCTCAATCAGAAAAGTGCAGTTTTGTACATAAGCATAATGCCACAAAAAATCTTGAAAGACTTTCCTTAGAAATTGACCTGTTCAATTTTCTTAATTTTTTTTAATATTTTTTAAACGATTCTCAAGCTGGCTTATATTTTTCCCTTTTTTATACCCTCCACCATACCATGGAGGGTATATTAAATTTGCCATTCCGTTTGTAACACCTCGAAATACTCATATCAGACACAAAAAAGTATATATATTCTTGATCAGCGTAAAATTCTAAGTCGATTTAGCGATGTCCGTCTGTTTATTTTTCTAGTAGGCAGTTTAAGTTCGTAAATGGGCCATGTAGGTCTACGTTTTCATATAGCCCCCATATAACTGTACCTCCCGATATTCGGTATTTCAATGACTTTATGGACATTGTTTAACGGAATTGTTTCAAATTTGGTATTTGAAGTTCGAAATGGATACTACAGCTCAAGACAGAAAATTGTCTGTGCAGGTCTACGTCTTCGTATAGCCCTCCTATAACGGTACCTCCCGATATTCGGTATTTTGATGATTTTAGCGACATTGTTTAACGGAATTATTTCAAATTTAGTATTTGAAATTCGTAATGGATACTACAGCCTATGACAGAAAATTGTCTGTGCAGGTCCACGTCTTCGTATAGCCACCCTATAACGGAACCTCCCTATATTCGGTATTTTGATGATTTTAGCGTCATTACTCACCAGAATTGTTTCAAATTACGTATTTAGAGTTCGTAATGAGAACTACAGTCAGTGACGGAAAATTGTCTATACGGGTCCAGGTCTTCGTATAGGCCCCATACATCAGTACCTCCCCATATTCGGTATTTTGACGATTTTAAGTACAATACCCACCGAAATTGTTTGAGTTGTCGTATTGGATGCTACAGCCTGTAACAGAAAATTGTCTACGCTGGTCCAAGTCTTCGCACAGCTCCGATATAACGGTACCTCCCTATATACCATATTTTGATGATTTTAGCTTCACCGTTTATTTCAAGTTTCGAATTTAAACATGGCTTATGACACAGGATGTCTATATTCGGTATTTTTAAAATTTTAACAGAATTTTTAAAGGATTTTATTTTTTGAAAATTTCCAAATTTGTTCCAAATGGTGGAGGGTATTCAAAGTTCAGCCCGGCCGAACATACTGCTTTTTAACTTGTTCATCCTTTTATTATTATTTTCTTCTTCGAAGTAGTCGTAAAAAAAATAAATTATCTTTCGGAAACGTTTTTCTAATTTTTTAAGAGTTTTCTGAACAAGAATAGCAAAGCTTGTCGGGCCAATTATACAGACCTCCTATGACATGATCAATATATCTTCTGTTAGAAGATCTACTATTTTTGCGCCGGGAACATCTATAGTTGATCACCGTATCCTT